AGAGATTAATCTAAGTTTCCACGCCGTATTGAGCATGACAGCCGCCGGAGCAACGGGATATACATTAAATCAGATGCTTCAATTTCTTGGTGTTAGCAATGTTGACGTTATTAGAGGGGAACGGATTACCTCAGCTGCAATTGTATGGAGATTGTGAGTTCTCTATCCAACAGCCTTCAATAAGGTTGAATCATGGGAAAATTGGGGGAAATAGAAATTGGGGGAAAGGTAAACGAGACCTATGGAGGGAAAGGGGAAATTCTGGAGGGAGTCTCAAAATAGTGGGGGAAATACTAAAACTTATCGAGGGAATAATTTTGGGTAAAGTATTACGGCGTTTCTAACCGCCACAATAGGAAATAATCGCCGCTATAAAAAAAAATTAATCTGGCGGCTGGTAAAACGCCATTTTTAAATATATTTTGTGGCGGTTATTTGGAACCGCCGTAATATAACCGCCACAATAATTTTGATTTTTTGTAGTGCCGGTACACTGAGCTCCCGCTATGCGCGACCATGTTCTAACTTCATAAAGACATACAAAGAAAATAGAAATACAAAGAACCAAACTCAACGGAGTTGTTGTCATCCCTGGCGAATGAGTAGTTTGAAGGTTATCTTCTCTTCTTCAATAAATAAATTTCTATTATTTTTCTCTTATGCGATCGTCTTAATAATAGGATAACAAATATATACCCAGTATATCTTCATTACCAAAAAATGAGTGCAAAAAAATAAGAAGAAGAAACAAAACTCACCTGAAGTGAGAACTACAATTGAGGGTCATAACAGACAAATTGCATAAAGAGGAGAGATTTGAAATTACACATGAAACTGCACCAAACAAACATCGAAATCCCTAATTTTCCATGTTCGTCTTTCTCCAAGTCCCATTTTTTCTCAAACAAATATCAAAATTCGTAAACTACCAAAGAAGGCAAAAAAAAAAAAGAAAAGAAAAGAAACTCAAATTTGCAAGTAATTAGAACTTGCTAAGTGAAGAAACCAGATATATATGAAAAATAAAGAAAATTGAAAGATATTATACCGGCGATTATGTCGGAATCTGATCTCTTCTTGCCAAGAGGTTTCGGATTCTTCTGTCAGCTTCAACACTCTCAATTGTGTGGTACATCTATGAAATCAAAGTTCTTAAAATTTCAATTTCAAAAATTAGGTTAAAATCCAAATATTTTGATGATAATTTCACCCAAAAGTTTTGATGATAATTCAAAGTGAAAGTAGTTACCTACATACAACACTTCATGGATAATAACAAATGGAGCAGCCAAGGAGGAAGAGAAGAAAAGAGAGTCGCGAAGAAGCAAGAGGAGCAAAAACGAAGCAGAAAAGCTAATATGTTGTCTCTCAGTGTTACAACACACCTGAAGGGATGTTTCTTAATCCCATTTTGTGGAGGCATGCAGATTTTAAATTTAGCAATTGACATTTGATCATTAACTCCACTCCGTCTGAGGATGAAATGTTGTGCTCAACTCAACCCGTGTGCCCAACTCACGCTGAACTGCTCTCCAGAAATGCGAGGTAAACTGCGTACCTCGATCAGAAATGATAGACACGGGCACACCATGAAGTCGAACAATCTCCCGAATATAGATCTCAGGTAACCTCTCAGAAGAATTCTTTGGCATTCTTGCAAGCCTTCATCTTTCACCAAAATATAACATACAATCATTTGGACAGGCATGTATCTTGGTATAATTATAAGACCAAATTTATTGATGGTTTTCTTACTCCTCATAAAAAGAACCAGGAATTCTTGGCATCAAAGCGATCTTTTAACAATTCTAATATCATACTCATCGCCTTGTCAGTCATTCGACAAAGACACTTTATATGATATATTTTGATTAGAAATGACAATTTGGAAATGACTTCGTACACCCTTCTATAATGGTTGATTTCCATCTTCGACCAATTCATAAAACTTTGTATAATCTTCATTAATTGCCGTCAACTAGATGTCCTTTATCGC